AATGGAATCGACCGCAAAGTGGGCGTGGCGCGGAATGCTGGTCACCCATTGGTCGCCGCTAGGCTATGTGGATGCGAAATTGATGTAGGCCCCCCCCCCCCTCCTCAAACCAAGCCCACTTGGCTTGCACTACTGTATCCGGCAGATGCTTTTTAATTTTAGGTCTTAATGGCTATTACTACAATTTAGTATCAGTTAACTAAAGGCTGTTAGAAATATTGTCAAAGGCTTACGTAATAACTATCATGTAACATTACTTAATTTGAGGGAAGTAGTAACTAACTTACTTATAGTGGGGCAACCTAAAATTCTGATAGGCAACCTAATTTTTGCCTTAGGTTGCCCACTGGGCACTGTTAACATATCTGACAGTTTTCAAAACCTGTCCAGTTGCTTGAGTAACAATTCCCTTGTGTGTGTGTGTACTGAATACTAAAATATTCATTAATGAGTTAACATTGTTAACCTGCAGAGGTGTGTGGGTTGGTGAGTTGAAGAAAGGTAACCAGGCCACCTTACCAGATGGGAGAGTCATCGACCCAACACCGTATGTAGAACCTGATACACCAGGTCCTGTCTTCATTGGTAAGTATAGTGTAATGTGATAATGATAGTGCAGTGGGGACGCCTTGCAGTGATTATGAAAACTGCAGGCACCTGTTATAGCCAAAATAATGTGAGAACAGTTTACCATTTTGAATCTCAGTGCTGTACTTTTGAAACATATTGTACAGTGGCTGGTACCATTCACATTCAAATTACTAGCTGTCTTTGGTATTCTAAAGAAATGTTATGTTTTTTCTGTACTAGAAAAAAGTGTATGTGTCTCTAGAAAAAACATGACTTGTGTGGTTTGATTTTAATTTTCTGTTTATTTCACAGTGGTTGAATGTCCAGGTGAGGACTTCATTGAACCAGTCACAACTAACAGCCAGATTGCAAAGTAAGTCATGGCAGGAAATTAAAATAAACTTTAGGCCACACCAATTTAATTTGTTGGTTCTCGGATTTTTTCTGAAAAAATATGAAGCGACAGGGCGAAAAAATAAAAAAATAAAAACAGGTCTAGGCATCCTATTATAGGCTTAAATGCTACGAAATGAGCCATGAAGTCAACACAAAAGGCTGGGTTAAAATTTAAACATTGAATTTTGAACTTTTAATCTAACCACTGCAATGATAGATGGGAAAACTGTAACAACTAGGAAGAAAAGGACTTTCCTCAACTGTTGAGGGCAAAACATGAGCATTTTTCAGTTGATTCAGAACCAGAATCATATTTCTTTTTTTTTTTGCAAATCAGAAAAAAACGAAGAGGCGAATCCGAGAACCAACAAATTAAATTGGTGTGGCCTTACTTTTAGTTTTGTTGTCAGTGATGTTATTGTACGTAAATGTATACTGTATTTTAGAATCATCATGGTCCTTGTACATACATATAGAATACAACACGGGGTATTACGACCGCGAGTCAGATCCGACTCGCGGGAGGGCCGGAACCGAGGGTGATGCGGAATACACCGTGTTGTACATGTACCCAAGAAAATGCGCCTTTCAATGCAAGATGAGCCAAAAGTTGGTGCCACTAAACCCTAAAATGCAACAACATCAATTCTAACGTCCGGATTCTGTATTCAAATTTTTGAAAGCAGCACACGCAGTTAGGGCAAAACCCGTTCAAATCGCTCTATGGAAGCCATGGAGCCCGGGCCGTACCCGTTATCGAATGTTATTGCGGCCCGGGTATGATATAAATGTATGTATAATTATCATGTCTTGAGTTCCTCTTCTTTATTCAGGTACCAGGAGGATGGAGATGAAGAACTACCAGCTATCGTTGTCCACTTTACTCCAGCAGGAGTAGCCAAGGACACACGCTACCAGGACTGGATCACAAGGTACATGTACATGTACATGTGGGCTGGGCACACAGGACTCTCTGTCATTCTGCCAGTACCAGTTAGACACACCAATACTAAGTATATAATTCTGTTTTGCTTCAGCTTGGAGAAAAGGCCAACCCTAATAAAAACCTGCTGACCCTTAGCCTTAGTTTTGGTTGGCTGGTGCAGAAAGTTGAAAGCGTTAACTTCTGTCTTAGCCAACCAGAAGTTTCTTCCGTCATCTCAGTTTTGTTTGACATAACATGATGACATTGTCTAGTGCTGAACATGACAAACCTAAGGGCTCTGACAGCAAATTCTGAAATATTGACCCTCTCAAATGCTAATTCCTGCATTTTGAGGGACAAACTTTGCTGCTAGTCTAAGCTTATAGTTTAAGGACATCTTTTACAAATCCTTACAGACTGATTTTTTACAGTCAGAGATAACAGATTGGGAAAAATTTTGGGCCGTCATGATACAATACATGTAGATTACCTTTAGTATCATTATGGATTAACTCTGTTAGAAGACGTATTTTAGTATAGTTTGTGTAATATCTATATGACTGTACCCTTGTTGTTTCTTCTCTGGCATACATTGTACCAGTTACAGTTGTTGAGCAGTAAAGTTGATTTGATTTGATTTTGATTTAGCAAAATTCTGTCAATGACGGAAAAATGGTTTCTGGCTAGAACACTGGTTGACCCTCTCACACTAGGGTGAACCCATTGAAGTTCCTATCTTTCACACACTGTATAATTATATTTACCATGTATTCCTGTGTGTTTCCCAGATTTGGACCAAACACAGAACACCTGTTCCTGAATGAAGACACCCAGACAACATCTCACGAGGGTACAGCCTCTCTCCAGGCCTGTCTCAACATCATACAGCCTACTGTTTTTCCCCTGCTAGCAGATAACGCCATCAAGGTAAGGGTAACACTGGGTTTCAAACTCAGCAACTGACCAGTCCAACGGGTCCGGACCTTTTAGCCTTGCAGTTAGTGTGTTGAGGTACATAGACTGGGTTCGAATCCTGGGACCCAGGAGGCTACCGCGTGGACACAGGAATCTTGACCTCAGAGATTTGAGGACAAATCTATAAGAATAGAGGGAGTAGTGGAACAGGGGCATTTTAGTTCCACTAACTGATAGTGATGCATACCGGTTCACTGGACTTGAATCCGGACTTGTAAGAATGTATAGGTTCAAGTCCAAAAAAACCTAAAAGTCAAGAACTGAGTCCGGACTTATTACCATAAAGGACCATTTCACATACCCGTTTTCTTTCCAAACCACCTAAAACCTTCCGTAGATTGTAAAATCTTTGTTGCAAAACGAAGAAAACATTGCCATCGGGCATCATCAAGTACCGGCCTCCTTGTTATGTGGCCAAAGTTTCACCCAGACAACATTGCAAGGTTGCCAACATGCAATTTTGTATATGCCATGGGTTTAGGTCCGGACTTACAAGTCCACACAGCAAAACACAGCAAACTACACTTACATGTAGTGCTGTGTGTATTTTTGGAATGTATTAAAATTTGTCCTTTATTCTTGTCTCCAGCCGGGAAGTCTGCCGCCTCTCCCACACAAACATGTCCGAGGGGAGTGTCTGTTAACATACTGGCTGTTCCACAGGGACCACCCTCTACAATGGGACAGGTAATACTGTGTGTCTAAGGCCTACAACATGTATATATAGAGGAAAAAAGATATGTTTCCTGTTGCAGTCTTGGAGGACTTTTCTTGACTTGCAAGTAAAGTCTGAATGTTTACTGTTCCCCTAATAGATCCTCCATTCCATTGCTGGACAATGAAGAGGCTGTGAAGGGGGCTTTTGCTTTGCCTGGATTTGAGGATAGCCTTAAGGAGATGAAGGAGACAATTGCAACAGCATTTGCCAGTGATACAGCAGGTAAATACATTGTACTAGATACAATAGAAATACATGACAGAGGCACCTGACACCCATGACAATCTGTGAAAAAACTACATGGAATGTAGGCACAATAGACAATAAACCAGATATTGAGTGTGTGAGTGAGTGATGTACATGTAAATTAATCCTAATACTAGTAATAGATATACTGAAATTGAATAATATGATACTGCAAGACAAGAGGAAAAGAAAAAACCTGTCATGATCATGATATATTAAGTCGTAATAACTTCAAATTTGGCCAGAGAATACAATCTTTAAGGCATTATCATTGCATGTACCGATATGTGTTTTTGGTTGTTTCATGTCCCCGAAAAATGACTTTTTAAGTTATTGCTAAACTGCAGTCCTTTTCAGTAGTTGAGTGCAAGTTGGTGGTTCAATTTTGAAACCCAAGTCTTAGAACACATGATACAGCTCAAAATTATCATTAGTTTGTGAAGGTGTCCATTCTGACAAAACCTTGTATTATGTATACCCAGTGTGTCTGCATGTACACTTGGTGTGCAATGTGTCTGTAACTATTGTATGTCTGTTTCCCCTCTAGCCTCCCCGTCCTACCCAGAAGTGGTGTTCTTTGGTACAGGATCGTCCATCCCCAGTAAGAGGAGAAATGTCACAGGAATCCTGGTCCAACTCAGGTCAGGACTGAAGCATGTAATATACAATTATGTCATGTACATTACATACATGTGTACTGTGCCATAGAGAACTTCCAGTATGGTACACTCAGGTAGTCTCTAGTTGTAATTTATAGATGATGTTAGTCATACACCATGCTTGTTGTTTGAACGAAGCTTTAAGGTTGCAGTACACAGTATTAATGGGCGACCCCCGGGGTCTATGACTCGGGTATAGAAAGTAGTACAGTGAATATTCTTGAAGGCTGGGTAAAAAGCCTGATAAGAGCGTCAGCCAGATGTAAATTGTGCTATGTGGTGTACATTGTAGGAATGTATCGGGTTTGAGACTGTATGATTTGAATTGTGAAGGTTTTGCCTCTCTCTCTGCAAAACTCTTGGCAGCAAAATCGTCCCTCCGTGGCATCACTCGCGTCGCTCATGGAAAAAATAATGCCACGCCCTACGAGTCTGTGTAGGAGGCTAAAGTGCACCATATAATTTTTTACCGCGTCGAAGTGAGTCATCTTGGGGTCCTTCCCCTTAGGGTGAAAACTGTGCTCTGCTACAATGTATTTTAATAAGTGGGCGAAGTAGCTTTCTTAAGTTTATATTAAACATTTAACCAGTTATAGCAGGCTCTCAAACATTATTCACATTTTGATTCTCCTAGACTAAGTAATATGGTGTTGAATGTACATCAAGCACGTCGGCAGAACGTACTGCGCCTGCGCAGAACCCCGTATTTTAGCATTTTTCGTTGGGTTTTTGGTCAACGTTGCATCAGAATTTTGCCTGTTGCAGAGGATAATCTTTCCGACATAACATTTGGAAACTACTGTCGAAATGCTAACCTTATATGAGCGAATACAACCTTATATGAGACATTCTGCCGAAATGCTATGTACAATACATTACGGGTTTCGCGCAGGTGCAGTACGTTCTGCCGACGTGCTCATCAGATTCATACTGTTTTACCCAGTGAGTCAGAGTCCCTGTTGTTGGATGGTGGGGAGGGCACATTTGGACAGATGTACCGGCACTATGGTGCTGATGTGGACAGGGTGCTGGCTAACATCAAATGTGTCTTCATCTCACACATCCACGCTGACCATCACTTGGTATGTCACATATCACATGGCATTTTTTTTTAAAGATTAGGCCACAACAATTTAATTTGTTGGTTCTCGGATTGTTCAGAAAAAATTTAGAGCGACAGGACAACAAAAAAATAAAAACAGGTCTAAGGCATCCTATTATACATATAGCCCCAAATGCTACAGCCATGAAGTCAACACAAAACTAGCGTAGCATTTGGGGCTATAATAGAAAGGATGGCTGTTTTATACAATTGTACATTGTCTACAACATATTAGAATACTTCTTAGGTTTAAATATCATGATTGTGCTTATTATATAATTATATTTTTTCAGGGACTGATGAAAATATTTCAAGAGAGAAGAAGAGCACTGGTAAGGAATCATTATATAATTTTATTGAAACAATGACTGCATTAAGCATAGCAAAATATTAGATGTATACAGACATTTGAAATCAAGGTCCTAATAATGTTTAACACATGTCCTTTGTAATATAATTTTCAATGTCATTTTCTAGACACAATTATAAAGTTTGTTAGTATTAGACACTTTCTGTGAACATTTGTAACAGTTAAGATTTCCTTACCAATCATTTTTAGGTTCAGTCTTGGTGACCTGGAGAATGGTATTAACTATTTTCAGGGGTTTGTACATGTAAAATGATTTCTATGCATGTTTTTTTTCTGTATTGTACATCCTAGCAAACCCTTGGAGAGCCCCAGCAGCCCATGTACCTGATAGCCCCCCTCCCGTTCATGTCATGGATCAACCACTACAGACTCAACTGTGAGAACATCGGCATGGACAACAAGGACTTCATGTAAGTGCAGTACCCACACAATCTGACAGGGGTCACTGCTGTGCTGCTGGTTCACATTGCCGTGTGAACTTTCTGTTTTTCAACTGCTGATCATGCTTACAGCAAGGAGTTTCATCGTAGTTAGGATTCTATTTATTTATTTATTTATTTATTGAAATTGCGACGAAGACAATACAATGTGGACACAAGGCAGCTAATCAGCTGATGGCGTGACCACATACATAGAATATACATACATACATACAATATACATGTCAAACAGCAAATACAATTGAATAACTATATAACAAAAGAAAGAGCTAAGAATCATGTACATCTATATACAAAAATAGCTAAGATTAGAAAGGTGCTAAGGCATGTAAATACCGTAAAAACTAGAACTTAGTACAATATGGAGAAGCAGAGGATCAGCTGGAAGTAAATCTTTTTGTAGATGTTATAAACGTGTGAAGTGCATCTGAAAGTTGCTTGGATTCTATAGAAATGTACATTGGCTTGACAATGTATTATAAAGAATGTTTTAACTGTAGATTGAGTCTTGTATGGTCACCGTGATAGGTTTAAACTTTAATATGCCAGGATGCCAAAACATAGGTCCTACAAGTAAAATTACATATTAATGATTGTGAAAGTGGGCTAAATTTTACAATTACATTCAATTTGAATGACAAAAGCCTCTACATACATGTTGCTATATATGTTTGTCATCAATACATGATTGTGTACTAAAATGTACAGTTCTGTTTTAATAATTACGGAGGAAAATACACTTTGTAGTTCTGTATCTGTTTGATTCTGTACAGCCGGTATACCCGCACTTCGGCACAGCACACCAGCTTTGCCTTATATGTATTAAATCAACAGACTAGTACATTTTTAATTTTTTTCTACAGCCTGCTTCTTTCTAAAGACCTGTCTGTGTTTTCAAACGAAGAACAGAACCAAGAATTTAACAGCCTGAAGAAGAACCTTGGCTTCAAGCAGGTAAGTTATTAGTAAAAGCTAAGAAAGATAATAGTCACTGTGCCTCATCTTTTTGTGATGATATTCAATTTCTTCTCCGTCTCACCATCTTACCCGGTCACTCCATGCTGCCCTGTCTTGTGTCAGGTTTTTCACTTCCTTGCCTCCCAATACTGTGCTTTCCTGATTCTTATAAGTGCTCTTGATGGCCCTGAGAAGTTTAACACTAATGCCAGTCTCTGCTATGACTTTCCACATCTTATCTCTATACACAATCAAAAGCTTTCTCTAGATCAAGGAATCAGGCATGTTGCTCAATGCAATATTCCCAGCTCTTTTCTGTAGCTCCAGGTTGTACCAGTCCTCCATGTCTGTTGTTCTGTCTGTAGCTCCAGGTTGTACCAGTCCTCCATGTCTGTTGTTGTGTCCTCTGTAGCTCCTGGTTGTATCAGTCCTCCATGTCTGTTGTTCTGTCTGTAGCTCCAGGTTGTACCAGTCCTCCATGTCTGTTGTTCTGTCTGTAGCTCCAGGTTGTACCAGTCCTCCATGTCTGTTGTTCTGTCCTCTGTAGCTCCAGGTTGTACCAGTCCTCCATGTCTCCCGTTCTTATGGCCTGGTTGTGACCCACAATGATGGCTGGAAGTTGGTGTACTCCGGAGACTCCATGCCTTGTGATGCCCTCATCATGGCAGGTATTGTGTGTTTCTAACCGTTAAGATTTTGAATAATTAGATTGTCCCCTTGCAGTGTGGCCCTCTGACCAATAAGCTCTTACTTAGTGACAGTAACTATAAGATGACGATTTTTTATGTAGCCTGAAGTGTTGATGCTTAGAGTTCTGTCAGAAGTACATTTTATACATAATTATGTCATACATATAACAGAATGTGTTATCTGAATTTGAAATTTCTTTGAAGAAATTGTCTACATTTATATTTATTTATAATGTATTTGTTTGATAACTTTGTTGTAGGTAAAGATGCCACACTACTGATACACGAGGCTACGTTTGATGATGAACTCCACCAAGAAGCAAAACGGAAGAGACACAGGTACTGCGTACATTAAAGGTCTTTCATTCATTCATTCATTCAATTAATTTTTTATTACTGCTCGCCGTACGTGCAGCTGCATGCTGTCTACGTCCAAAAACACTGGCAAATTTTTTCTTTTTAGATATGAACAGTTTTATATATAAGTCTTTATTGAAGTTTAGAACATTGATCAAATGTGTCAGGTAGTTCATACCTCCCACCAGCTCTAACTGTTGGCCAAAGTCAGTGAAACGGTATTATAAATTACATATGGTCAGGCGATTCAATGTAGATGTGTTGAACTTCCAAGGACAGCAAGCTTGAGGCATCTATAGTATGTTCAAGGAATCTAGTGCTCAATGCATGAATATTCTGCCTCAACAATTGAATGTAGAATTCTTTGCAAGTATCTTGCCTTGTACATGTACATGTAGTTCCTTGACATGAATTGTAGTACCATGCTGTAGCTCACAGGTAAAATTTGTATGGTGCAAGCTTGCAGAAAAAAATGAATTGCTTTCCAATGTTTTCCCCAGCACCATTACCCAGGCCGTGGATGTTGGTATTGAGATGAACGCAGGCTTCAACCTGCTGACACACTTCAGTCAGCGCTATCCCAAGATCCCCCTCATGGACAACGGAGGAGAGAAAGTGGGCATCGCATTCGACCACATGAAGGTGACACTTTTTTCTTCAAAGAGAATCGTTTTTTTAATTTAGGAATAGCAAAGTATTTATTCACAAACGCTTGTTCGACAAGAGACACTGAAACCTGGTGCCACTGGCTCAATGCGCTCTGAAGCCAGGTTTTAATTCTAATTACTGTTTTTTTTTTTTTTTTAAGTGACACTTTGTTCTTCAAAGAGAATTTTCTGGTAGCAAATTCTAGAATCTAGGAGATTGTTGAACTATGAACTTAAAAAATCTAGACAAAGCTGTGTTTTTTCTGAATAGTCTCTCTGAGGTGAAGTACATACCTTACACCTCAAGCCCCTGTCACACATTCAGAACCTTTCCCCAACCATTATCCAACAAACCAAGGCTGGCTAGAGTTCGGGAGCAGTCTGACTAGATTCAGGCCATGTTCAAAGTTGAGTACAATTTGAGTCAAAATTTGACTGCCAACCATCAGCCAACCATGGCCTAACCATTTTGAAACATTAAGCCAAACAGTAGCCCACCTCGCCAAACACCAGCCAACCACAGCCAACCTTGCTCAATGCTCCTAACCATGCATGGTTGGGGAGAGTTCGGCAGTGTTCGGGAGGCCATGTTCAGCTATGTGTGACAGACTGAATTCTCAGTTACCCTAACTAAATCCTGCTCCTAGCGGGTGGCCAGTTGTCAGTCGGAAAGTTGTCAGGATGGGGTCAGTTGACCATAGCCAGCGAGAGTTTGCGTAACACAGGCTAACTGTTAGTAATGTTAAGCTTAATGTTTTTGTTATGTCTTGTCAGCAGGGCAAGCCCTTTGTAATAGCCACGGGCTAGTTGGGCTGCCCTGGCTGTGAGAATTGTACAGCCAAACTACAAATAAATCACCTGTCTTGTGTTGTGTTGTGTACAGGTGCGTCTGGGTGACCTGAAGCTCCTGCCTCACCTGAGCACACCTCTACAGGCTCTGTTCCAGGAGGAGCTGCAGGAAATGAGAGTCAAACAGAAACGCCACAAACGGAACAGACTCGGGGGCCTCATTGACTAGAACTCGACAAATATAGCAGATACAAAATGAGTTATAAATACAACACCCCCATGAAACTCCTTCCTCTTCGCCCCCGCCGTTCTGCTTCGCCCCCGCCCCGTTCTGCTTCGCCCCCGCAAAAAATCTGCTTCGCCCCCGTCGTTCCTCTACGCCCCCGGTGCAATTCTGCTTTGCCCCCGTCCTTCTGCTTAGCCCCCAATGGCGGCACAGCTCACAGTCGACACGAAAATCGTCTGCAAAATAACAATAAAGGCTGTGCCGCCAAATTTAAAGTAGCCCATGCTCCAACAAACATTCTGGACCACCTTTCTGCCAAGTGGCGTTGCACAAATCCTTCCCATTCAAAAGTTTACCCCTACCTCACGGCCCGTCAGTGGTTCTTACGTTTATAAGTACTGGCGTTTATAAGTACAGCCGTGAGTGAAATTTCCCGCCAATACTTATAAACGTAAGAACCACTGACGGGCCGTGAGGTAGGGGTAAACTTTTGAATGGGAAGGATTTGTGCAACGCCACTTGGCAGAAAGGTGGTCCAGAATGTTTGTCGGAGCATGGGCTACTTTAAATTTGGCGGCACAGCCTTTATTGTTATTTTGCAGACGATTTTCGTGTCGACTGTGAGCTGTGCCGCCATTGGGGGCTAAGCAGAAGGACGGGGGCAAAGCAGAATTGCGCCGGGGGCGTAGAGGAACGACGGGGGCGAAGCAGATTTTTTGCGGGGGCGAAGCAGAACGGGGCGGGGGCGAAGCAGAACGGCGGGGGCGAAGAGGAAGGAGTTTCATGGGGGTGTTAATCAAATAGCTGCACTACAGTATGATTTTCAAAGGGTTTAGTACCTTAAAAATGTTGTATTTGCCAATTGAATTCTTCGAATATCTATTTGTTTATCTTTTCATATCTGTCAGTCCTATCTGTAAACTTGTTTTATTATCCCTCCCTTTTCAACAGTAATTGGCTAAATCCTTTTATTTGGCTACACAAAAGATGCTGATCCCTATAGGATTACTACAACAACAGAGGATTAACCTAAGCCTATTTACTAATTGGTATGAAATGAGGCTTGTCCCTTCCCAGTGGGGGTTCCAAGTGAAACCACGTGTGCCACAGTTGTACTGTAAAATCACCTATTTTCACTCAGACCTAGCTCAGACCTAAGGCCACAGCAAGAAATTTTATGGATGACATCAGAGAGCGCATTAATTTTCGCCTGATTTGGTAAAAAAAAAACAAGAAATTTTGTTGCCTTCTGACAGTGGTCAACATGCGAAAATGGGCAAAGATGTCTACTGCCATGCTTGAAGGTGGATGGCAGATAACTATGAAGAGGAGACAAGAAAAGGCTCTGATTTAATGTTTTGTTTCTTACTTTGATGCAGTGATCTGTGATGCTGGTTGTGTATATGTGATGTTCCCACTTAATAAAAACCATTTGTACAATTATTGAGTCAAAATTTTAAGATGTAGGAACCTTGTTTTTTTCGGCCCGCCTTGTTTTTTTTGGCCCGCTCCCATTAGATTTGGAGTCTGCGGAGGATGTCATCCATAAAATTTACTTGCTGTTGCCTTAGTTAGAGACTCTGAGGAAGGTGACAGACGGTCACTGAAACGTCGGCTGAATAAAAGACTTGGTTGTGTAAAAAGAGTCTCTTTACTCCTAGACTATGACGTCTTTACCCTTGGTCAATGCCTTTTGCAGGGGTCAAGAATAATGAAAGCTTGTTTTCCAGTCTTTTCTTACAGGCTTTCAAGCCATTTAGTTTAGGGTGGCTTTCAATATGGCTAATTTGCAAAAAAGAAAAGACATTCTAACCTCTAGGAGGTAACCTAACAATACCCAAGGACACCAATCTAATACCTTTGCAATACCCCAAGTACAGATCAACTTTGTTATCCTTATGGATAAGTTGCAGGTTTTGAGTGGTGGTGGGACAATATCCTTTTGGTGGTAGGTGGCAATTCTATGTGATGAAGTGCCACCTTGGTGATACTGT